CTGAGGGTGAGCTTCTGGCACTCAGATAAAACACATAGCAAAAAAGCATAACTAAAACATAGGGTTAGATGACAAAAATGACTATCTCAGTGACCATCTGCCCTCTCTGCCCTGCTGGTCTTGTTTGTCAGTTTATCTTCGGGATCGCCTCGGGATAAAACTTCCTTGCTTTAACTTTCACTTTCATTAAAATGTACACACAGGGCTCTGTCTTAGTTTCTCTTGGCATTGGAGGGCAATTTGAGTGAAGGCACCACCAGCCGGTGTTTGCTCTTGGCAGCTGAGGTTGTGGATGGTCCCCACCGGCTGCAGCCTCTCTCCACTGCATTTCTTTGGCTGTATACTCTGTCTCGAATAAATACTGCTGAATTTCCAAGTCAAATAAAACACCGTAAAAAACACTCATACATGTGTCCTCATAATGTATCCTCAGTCTTAACATCTTCCACACTGGGATGCAGTTTTCGCTGTTGGTAATGTAGGTAGTTTGAAATAAAAGCGAAGAGAATAAGTGACACCTAGAGCCACCGCATGGCTACCTATAGGTGGAAAATCAGCCTGTAGTTCTTTCTTGCAATGAACTATGATACTGTCGCATTAAAGGACGATGCTGAATGCAGGCAGAACAACAGATTGTGCAGCTGCAAACTCAACGTTCTCAGTCAATGTAGAATTTATTGCTTCCATTGATTGCATTTACCATTAACACTGGTTGAACACCCACATAAAATATGGCAAATTTTCCCTGTAATGCCCTTAGGATGCTGATTCCTTGACTTTCCATGTAATGCCACAGGCAGAATCCATATAAAGCAATGATTTTCCCAAGTTTGGTATGGAAGAACTTGATTAGAGCCCTGACCTTAACACCATCAAACAGCTTTAAGATGAATCTGAGCGCTGACTGTGAGCCAGGCCTTATCACCCAACATCAGTGGCTCACTAATGCTCTGTGGCTGAATGGGAACAAATCCCTGCAGCTAAGTTCAACATTCTTCTGGAAAGCCTTTTCCAGAAAACGGAGGTTGTTATATAATATGTTCAAGAATTACATATAGGTGTCACTTTTACATGCTCACATACTTTTGAATATAGGTTGTATGGCAGCAATACAATGTGGTGTAAAGGCATGCAAGTGTGTTGGGTTGTTGATTGAATTCTGAATTTATTTGCGTAACCTTTAAACCATACATCAGCTTATACAGTCTGTGTCTGATTTATTAAACTGCTGCTTCGCTGTTGGAAGTTTCAAGTCTCTAAGAGTCTGTACAAGCAGATTTGTATCGGACACTACCTGTTTTTCACCGCCTCCGGGTTCTTAATATCACTCCAGTGCCATTTCCATTTCTTTTCGTGTCATATTAAGTGTCAAAGATCTATGTGGATGCATTGATTTTATGACACAGTGTGGAAAAGTGTTGCTGGGAGATGAGATGAGAGGACGGAAGGTGTTGCTGAGAGAAAAATTAAGAGCAGGAGAGGAGAGCGAGCCTGTGAAGATAAAGATTAATAGCCGTTTTGCTCATGAAACCCACATTTGGCAGCTGCACGGGAGTCATTTAAGGTGTCGTCTGCAAATATGTGTGTGTGTGTGTGTGTGTGTGTGTGTGTGTGTTTTGGATGTAGGCTGCAAAATGGACTAGAACACAAACAAACTGCTACTCCTCTACACGCACCGTGTGTCTGATGAGGATTGATCATGTATGTGTGTGTGTGTGTTGCTGACTCGCCGCCTCGGAGTAACTGCTGGTTGGTTTCCACTTGCAGCACCGTTTTGGCTGAAACAGATGAATGAGGTTTATTGTTTCTTCTTCTCTGAGACACACTGACTCACTGATCCTGGATCAGCATGGCTGAGCAAAGCTCATGTGATTTTTACTTAGTACTCTACCAGGAGTGGAAGAATTACAGCTCACTGGCCTGGTGATTAGAGTTTGCATATGTGTGTTACTGAGTGTTAGCGAGATACTGAGAGTGTGTGTGTGTGTGTGTGTGTGTGTGTCTTTATAAATTGTGCTGATTAGGTGAATCCAGGTCCAACCATGACAGATGACAAGGTTAAATGTTATTGTGTCAGCTATCACAGAATTATGTAAATACCAATGTAAGGATTTTACATGAAATACCCGAAATCACATGTTACAAAATAATGTTCCTCATGTTGAGTAAGATCAATAATAATATAATGTTTAGATAGGCCCCCAAATAAAATACTGTAATTTTTAAAATCCTGTTTCTCACATCAAAGATATAAATCGCAACATTTCTGTAATTGAATTTTGCCATAATACAACCATAGGGGAATGACCATAAATGGGACAATTGTACTGCTTTAAGTAAAAGCCACTTTCCCTTATTGATTTCCCTTATTAAATCAGCCCCACTCACAGAGGACAAGACGTAGATAAAGACAAGCAGATGAGTCAGAGGCTTTTTAGGCTTTAAAACAAATGAGATGTGGGCTGAGCCAAAACGGCTACAACCTACGGTAATATCAGGAGGATATTTTTAATTTTATGTACATTTAGTGTGCATGGAAACTTTTGGTATTTAGTTTGTGTTGCAGTGCCACTTACTTACAGTCCTAAAATGTGTGTCCTAGGTTAAATATATATCTTTATCTTAAGTGGAGCCTCTGTGTCTTAAGTGCCCCAGTGATAAATGCTGTGTTGGCAGCAGTGATATGTGAGGACTGACAAACTGCAGAGCAAAATGACACATGTGGATGTTTATACTGTAAGTCAGGTATACTCAGCCTGGTGTAGGGGGAACTTTTGCAAAATGACAGGAGGTCATGGGCCAGTTAATAAACAAACATTTCTATGGGGGTTGCGGGGCGATGGAGCCTATCCCAGCTGACACTGGGTGAGAGGCGGGGTACACCCTGGACAGGCTGCCAGACTATCACAGGGCTGACACATAGAGACAGACAACCATTCACACCTACGGGTAATTTAGAGTCACTAATTAAGCTGACGTGCATGTCTTTGTACTGTGGGAGGAAGCTGGAGAAAACCCACGCTGACACGGGGAGAATATGCAGACTCTGCACAGAAGGGGGTCTGAGGGTGGTGTGTCTTCCCTGGCACTCCGTTTTTTCTTATAAATAAGCTCTTATTTGATGATTTTTAATTACCCAGGCACATCATTTACAAAGTACCAAAAAGCACCTGTGTGAATTAATTCATTTCACTCAGGAGAGACTCGCTCTGTGAGAAAATAATATATATTTACATTTGCAAATGAGTATGAGAAATGTGAAAAGTCTCTGGTGATTAGACCCCAATGTCATGTCATCTATTCCAGGACGGTGGTAAAGACATAGTAGATTAGGGAACCCCTCGCTATGGAGTCTAGACTCCAGTGGTGATAATGGTGGTGATGAGATGAGATGAAGAGGGAGCTGAGGATCTGGATGTGAAGAGGAGTGGGCTTTTGATGAGCTCGTCCTGGGCTCTGGATAAGGTGATTGGAGGTGAATGGGCTGGAGGAGGGTGCAGTGATTCTGCCTGAAATGACAGCTGACAGGAGCAGAGAGGAGAACAGATTGAAAGTTTGGCAGCAACAACATGAATGGCTGAAGGAGATTGTGGCAAAGTTCGATTGGCTAACCAGGAGAGGGAACACCCATAGCCAGCTTATTTGTGGAAGCAGTGGGAGTGGGATAGAGAGAGAGAGAACTGTGAATGGATATAGTATAAAGAAAGTCTTCCTGACTGAACTTATGCTGAGTTTCATTTTCACTGTGTATTAGAAAATGGTCAGTGGGCCACCTGGCACCCTATCACGGGCCAGGTTTTGCCCGTGGGTCGCAAGTTGAGTATTATTGCTGTAAGTGAAACACTGATTCACTGCGGCTATATGTCGAAATTAGCAAGAATACACTGAGAAAAATAAAATACAAAAATGTAGACCAGTACCAATAGATAGTCCCACATTCAACCACATTCAAACAGACTTCCCTGCATGGGAAGCTTCTGAGCATCTGACATCCAAATTTTAGTAGTAGTTCCCAGGAACACAGAGAATCAAAACCACTTCCTGTTGAAACAACCAAATTTGGACTTTTCATGCGAAGGACAGGCACATCAAGTTTTGACTTTCCCATCCATGAGTTCTTATGTTAAATCAGTTCCTGACTTGGCACCAGCACACATCATGCACAGTAAAATGTTTCTCATAATTAACCAGAAGAATAATTTTTATATGTGGATTTTCTGTCTATCCTTTGGGGGGCATGGTTATATGTTTGTTGGTGTCTCCCTGGCACAGTGTGCTTCTGAGCTTGTGTGTCATTGAGTTAATGGAGGGTCTTGGCCTGGGTAATGGAGCCCCTCCCTGCAGGCTGAGCGGATAATTTAATTAATGTCAGCTCTCTCTCTATCCTCCCTCCTTCCCTCGTGACTCATCTGTGTTGTGCATTGGCCTCGCTTTGGACACTTGTCTTCATCTACTCAACTCATCAACCGTGGCGGGCTTCAGGCTGAACTCTCTGGCAGTCACTCACACATTTATTCATCCACTTCATTTTTTCTTTCTGTATATTTTTGTCTCTGCAATCACACACTAGACATACTGTATGATATATTTGAGAAGCAGTTAGATTTTCTCACACAGCCTTCTCCTCTTCTCTTAAACAGCACAGACACTGTGTAGTTTAGCAGGACTGAGGAACAGTTGATTTATCCTTACCTAGCTCGTTACTCTTCCTTCCTCAGCTGCAGCGCTTTTAATGTTTATAGAGGGAAAGCCATTTGTGGAGTCACTGTAATGATACATGACATAATGGTACCTCTGTGTAATTCATAAGGGCGACAGGGGGCACTGAATCAGACTTGGCTCAGCTGCAGCCAGGCAGACATGGTATGCTAAGTTTAGGCAATATGTCAGCAACTTTCTTTTCCTTCCTCAGCACTCACCTTTTTCCAATTGCAGGTTATTTTACACTTATTCTCTGTGTTCCTTATGTTAATAAGCATCTGATTTTCTTTGTTTTTTAGGTGGAATTGCAGGTGGCATTGAGATCTGCATCACCTTCCCCACAGAGTATGTGAAAACCCAGTTACAGCTGGACGAGAAGGCCAATCCACCCAAATACAGAGGAATAGGTGAGCATATCTTTTAACAGTGGCATATCGAGCAGAAATGTAGGAATTAATTAGGTTGATTAATTCAAAATCTAACACCAAGGCTGTTTAGATAAACATGAATATGAGTTTGGGAGAAACCAAAAAGCTGTGTTTTTGCTGAAAAAACATCAGCTCAGTTCATATTTTCAGTATTTTTGCAGCAAGACAGCTTTAAAAACATGAAAATACAAAACATAAACACAAAAAAATCTAATAAAACAACAAGACAATGAATGACTTTAGGGAACAGTTCAACATAGGGGGCATTATTTGAAAATTAGAGACTCTCGTGTGTAATAAGGTAAATTTAAAGCTACCAAGACCTACCTACCTATTTAACAGCCCCTTTCCCACTGCACTAAAAACCCAGTAACACCTGCCAACATCTGGCTTTTTAATGTTATAGGAAAGGTTAAAATTGGCATTTACACTCGGGTCAAATGACTCTGCAGTAGTCACGGGTATGTATCGGCTCCGACTCGGATCAGCAATAATGGAAGCACAAAACCGGGGTGAACACGCTAATTTAGTTTCTTTACTGGCAAGATGCAATGACGCTCCACCACCTATCTATCTATCTATCTATCTATCTATCTATCTATCTGTCCCTCTGTCTGTCTATAATATATTTTGTTCTTCATCCTGTCTTTCTGCCTCTCTCAGGAGCTCATTATCTAATTACCCATCATCCCCAGGTACATTAGGGATTCTGGCAGGCTGTCGCTGGGCTTGTTTATATGACTTAGAACAGACAAGTGCACACATGCACACTCACCATCCCTGTATACCAGAGTACACACACACAGACATACACACATGCACACACACAGGATTTGTTAAAGTTGGCTGGAGCTCTGAGGATCGGAGACCACGCTAATGAGTGCTCAAGACAGCTGTTGTGTTTTCTGCTCCGTTGTGCATTTGGCTAGATAGCAGAACATGGGATACTGGACTGATGTCTCCGAGAAGAAGTTCAAAGAAAACACGCCAAATCTGTTGATGAACCAAAAGTGAGGGACAGATGTTTCTGGTGTACTCTCAGGTGTATTCTTTATAAAGGTCGGTCCATACTGAATAAAACAAGGCAAAAAAAAAAAAAAAAAAAGAACACTGTTGCAGTTCATTGATTTCGCTATGAGGAAGACTCAACAGTTGCTGCTATGGTGATGGGGATATTACCAAACAATATTTGTTCATATCATTAAAAAACTGAAATTTATTGAACGTAAAATTGTGTGTTCAGTAGTTTTGGATAATGTAATATGCCCGATGAAATAAGGTTGTCTGAGTCAGTGATTTTTTTAAGTGCCTTCTTATAACATACTTTTATCAGAGAGCCTTTCCTGGTTTTACAAGTTTTACCTTTCTTAGAACTGTATTATTGTTTATCATTATAATTATTACTGTATATGTGTGTGTTCTTTCAGGTGACTGTGTGAAACAGACGGTACAGGGTCACGGTGTTAAAGGACTGTACAGAGGACTCAGCTCACTGCTGTATGGATCTATACCAAAATCTGCAGTCAGGTGAGTTAAATAACTGAGAGGATTCTGAAATGTTTAAGTAGATGTACAAGACTGATATATATACTCAAGTTTCAAAAATCTACCTGTGCCAAGATAAAAAATGAGCTAATCTCAAATGTACGTAGAGACAGTTTGATTGAATAATTGATCAAATAATCACAGTTTCACTGTTGCATGTGATTTCCATGCCGTTCTTAAAGGGTGAGCTGAGTTAAAAGTTGATTCCTCTGATCAGTAAAATTAAAAATGAATGAATAAAGTGTACAGACAAAGTAAAACCACAGAGCTCCTCTTTACAGTGGGTTTTTTTTTTTTTTTTTTTTTAAAAATTGTCATCATCATTAAATGAATTCACCCCTTAAAATAATCTACTGAAGTGAAAGAGAGACGTCTGGTTGCACTGTATATACAAGATCAAAATATTGTGTCGGGTGCTCGTGGAGAACAGGAAACAACAGGATTGACAGGAAGTCAATCCAGGCACTCTGAAAGAATATAGAAAAACAAGGAAGGAATTTTTACAAAGGCTTTATTGTAGTGGCTAAATCATTAAAAGAGCCAATATGCTTCGACCACTTGAGGTCTTCGTCCGGGCTTTCAAAACATACAACACAGGTATGGCCGCACTTATATAGTGGCAGGAACCAATCAGAGGCCATCACATGACCCATATAATGGCATGACAGTTGAAACAAATAGACAATAATTACCAAATAACAAGTTAATAAAAAACATAGTGTGACATGAGAGAAGATACCCAGAAAAAGTATATTTGAACATATACACACCTGTCTAAACCCAAATTGCTGTGAGAAAAAAAATCTACTTAAGTGCTTTAAATCTTTTTGTTACATTACATTTTATCATTTTTTATATTGTATGCTTATATTCTAGTGAGTATAAAAGGTAGAGTGTATACATGCTCAGTAAAGACTGGAATAAAATGAACACTGTTAGCTAAGCTGATGTGATCTTCTACCTGGAACCACTCGCTCACACATTCCAATTATTCTAGTCCATTACCCACAATGCAAGGCATAAATGCCATACTAGCCTTCAGTATAATTACATTATTCTTTCACAGCAGTGACATTTATCTCCAGACGAGTGTGCACACACATGCACGCACGCACACACACACACACACACACACACACGTTGCACTAAACTAAAGTCAGATGCTTTTGTTCCCATAGCTTCATGTTCTCTGTTTCACTCTGTCATTACCCTTCTTTCTTTCTTTCTTTCTTTCTTTCTTTCTTTCTTTCTTTCTTTCTGAGCATGTGTGTGTGCTTGTGTGTGTGTCATGCTGGAGGGTAGCCTGTCTGTTCGATGGAGAGACAGGCCCAGCCAGGCGGAGCAAAGATGCCACTCAAACTGCGGCAGGGTCTCAATAGGGGTACGGCAAGGGGGAGACTTGTGTTGGTACTCTGTCAATTGAGTGTGTGTATGTTTGTGTACAGTGTGTGTGTGTGTGTGTGTGTGTGTGTGTGTGTGTGTGTACACCTATGAGTGTGTCAGTCAGCATTCAGCACCCTTTCCAGAGGGAGTCTGAATGGTTTTATTTCTGCTCTCACAAGAGTTTTCTCTGAGGAAATATTGCAATACTGGAGGAGTTAGGCCATTTCTTCTTTCTGACATTGTATATCAAAATGCATGTAAGTGGCTACATTGTGTATAGAAATACAACCTACTGCGTATATAAATGGAAGCTGTGTCTACTCATCACTGCAGTCTTCAGATGTCTGTGCGTTATGAGCTGTTCAACAAAGCAGATTTTATTCCTTGTCTTACTTGGATGCTTTTGGAGGCATAAAAATGTGAAACTATTCAGTAATTCACAAGACAAAGCAAAGTTCAGAAGTAAGTTTAAAAAAATGCACTTATTTTTTTGTTTTTCTGTCGTCTTATCTTATTAATCATCCCATGAAACCCTCAGATTGATATTGCTATCATTTCGGGGTGTGCCATTCTTGGTACCACAGAAAAACATGAAAAGATGAATAAAAACATAAAACATGACAGATGGATTGAAAGCCGTTGAGATGGCAACAGTTAGATTTGATTTGTGAAGAATACCTTGGCACATTTCCACTGACTACCACTTCCCCTGAGTCGTTCGATCCACTCTCCTCTTACTTCGTCTGTCTTCCTTCCCCTCCCCCGTCGATATCGCTCCTTTGCCTCCACAGCCCTCTTTCTCCCCCATCCCATTAACTGATTGCTTGTGCACCATCATGCGCCGTGCAGCCTGCTGCGTAGTCAGTGAGGTATGAGAGGGACAGACAAGAGAGCCTTTGACCTTTTCCTCCCCTTGACCCTTCATCCATATCTGCACCCCTCTCTCTAATGTCCGCCTTGCCTCCTTTATTTCTTTCCTTTTTAGTCTCCAGCTGACTCTTCTTCTTCTCTCTCCTTCACCTCCTCTTCTCATCAACACAGCTGACCTTGTAGAAAGACCCACTAATGAAGATTGGGCAACACTCTGCTGTCCAGAGTGACTCATCTCTGACTGTCGGCCAAAACTTGATGTGTCACATTCTAAGGGTGAAGTTTAGTCCTCTTGTTTAAACAGGCAGGGGAGACTTGGAGAGTAAATTGACACAGGAGCAGGCCTGACAGCGGCATATTTCTCCCCACCAGCTTTTAACGAACAGCGTTTGTTTCACAAGGTTGGTTATTAAGTGCACCGCCATCTCAGTGCAGTCTAAGAAAGCTGCAGGGAAGTACCCTTTTTCATTTTTTATTCTACCCAAAGCTGAAAAGCTTTTTGTAGTCAGCAAGCGGTGTGCATAAAGAGAAAGACGAATGGATTTATTTTTATGTGCTGTTTGTTCCTTCTTGACGGTGGGAGTCAGTTAATTGTGTGGAGCCTGTCTTTCAAAACTAAATCTGTTGCGAGGAACAGATGTAGAAGGTTAATGAGCAGAGGAAAATGTTGCAATAGAAAGGAAGATGGGAAAGAAACCTACAATCACATGAGGCAGATATAAGAGATGAATCCTGTTGGAGACGGACCCATGACGACAGCAGGTAGATGGTCCAAGACAGGGTGGAAAACAAAGCATTCATCAAGACCAAGTGTCTGTCCTCCCCTGCCCTTTTGCTAAATGTACCGGGCAGCGTCCTCCCTTCGCCACAATTCAATTCCATCTATAAATAACCTTCCTTGTAAAGGACTCACTGGCACAACATTTTCTGATTGCAGAGATACATAAACCACCTCTCTCCCTGTCTGGGCTGGTGTCCATGGCAGCTGTTGCTGGTCACTCAGTGGTTACTGAGACACTCCAGTTTATTAGTGCGTCTTTAATGAGGATGCAGGAAGGACAATAAAGTAAAAGCCTCAAGCACATTCTGCATTTTCAGCAGTTTGTCTGCGCTAAAAATCTGAGGTGTGAGGAAGTTTGTTGCCTTGAGGTGCATCCATGCTGCTTTTATTTGTACTCTGAGTCATTTAAACATCATCCTGCGCTACCTGATTTCTGCTGAGGAGAAGCAGTATAATTATCTTTCTGCCTGTGGCCTTTTTTATATGCTATAGAAGGGGCTGTTTTCATTGTTGATTGACCTGCCAACTGTTTTCTCAGTTAAATGATTAGTTGTTTGGTCTATGAAATGTCAGAAGTTCCTGAAAAATGTCCAAGATGCCCAAGATGACGTCCTCAGATGTCTTGGTTTGTGCACAGCCCAAAGATTTTCAGTTTGCTGTCACAGAGGTGTAAAGGAAATAGAAAATATTCACATTTAACAGGCTGGAATCAGAGAATTTTTTCATTTTTTTTTTAATTACAAATGACACAAACCAGTAAATGGATTTTTGGGGGATTAATTTAATAGTTGGCATAAATCGATTAATGGATATATCACTGAAGCTCTAACTATAGATACAATGATAACATTTTAGTGCAAAGAATCTCATTATCTTTGACCGCAGTCATCCACAATTATCATCTATTAGTTTGTATTTTATTCAGTTGCTTCAGCCTTATACATGCGCATTTTTAATAAACATCAACATCAAAGTGGAGGATGATCTTCAGTGAAATAGGCTGCATTAATCAGATTGCAGAATCGTTAAATATGTTGGTCTCAAAGGAGTGAAGTGGAGCAGCAACAAACAAGAGTGAAGGCACAACCCTGAACTCTGACCAAGTATTGTGTAAGGTTTGTTTTTATAGCTTCCAGGGTTTAAATAAAAGTGGGCAGTTGAAAACACTTACTGTAACATGTCATATTGTTGAATTTTAGTAATACAAGAATCTAAAAGAAAAAGGAAAAGGAAATTCAAAAACTCATCATACAGCTTGAGTAGCCTTTTAATCATTATATACAGGTGTTCATGTTGTTCCCCATCTTCACTGTAAATACCATCCAGACATAAAAATACAAAAACAGGTCAGCACACCAGAAACTGTTCCTTTTGAAAATTTTAATCCAATCACCACAAATGACATTTCGGGCACCAGCCCTTCATCAGTCATGAACAAGGTAAGTGGACACACATCTGTATATACAGACAATGGTGGTCGCCAAACAGATCATGTGATAACACATGTAGCTATGCAGAAACTGAGTACCACACACTGCAAAACCAGTACAAAATTACATCACAGGGATACATACAAAATTACAATACATTTACAAAAAAAAAACATTAACAAAAAATACCTTTACAAAAAAGCCAGCAGTGCCGAGAGTATCACCTCGAATATCACATGACTGAAACATCAGATAAAACAAACATCATATTGACATGCAAATTCAAGGTGAAATTGTAGAAAAATATATTTTTATAATTCTTTTTTTTTTTTTAATGAAACACTGCTGCTACATTTAGTACAGGCTCTATGCCACCCAAATTTATAATTCCTTACTTGGAAAATCCCTGAGTTTGGATGGTTTCTGTCCTTTTTTTCAAGCTAATACCAAAAATCCTATATGTCGTCCTAAATTGAGATAAGTTAGGACTTCAGACTTAGGACGTTTCTGTAACAAGTCCGAATATCTCCCATAATTCCCAGCTGGCTCTGTTCTGTTCCTCAGGTTTGGGGTGTTTGAGTTCCTCAGCAACCGTGCACGGGATGAGTCCGGTCGACTGGACAGCACCAAAGGCCTGCTCTGTGGGCTTGGAGCCGGGGTAATGGAGGCTGTTTTGGTGGTCTGTCCCATGGAAACCATCAAGGTATGTTACCAACTGATCTGTGGTCAGGTTTCTGATGTCATGCACACTTAAGGTCCATCCAGCAAGACTATACTTTACATGAAATATCTGTACCATGCACTTTGAATTTAAACGTAAATTTATAATCTTGTCTGAAAAATAGATGACGTGGGATATGACGATGAAGTTTAATCTACAGAATAAACACATTGCTGTTTTTCTAAGACTCACTTAAATATAACATCGGCCACATTTGTTATTTTCTATATCAAATCTCAGAACATTCATAACCACTGAAACAAAGGAATTTAGCTGCATAAACTAGCTGCTGAATTGTTCACTGACCTAAATTGAAAGTCTCTTTGAAATAAGACCAGACCAAACATTTATGGCTTTTTCACCACATTGTGCATTTCTCTTCTCTGTAATAGTAAAGCAACACTTCCTGTTTGGGATGACCCTGTTCCTTTTTTATCTCCCAAGGTTAAATTCATTCATGACCAAACTTCAGCCCATCCCCAATATAAGGGTTTCTTCCAAGGAGTCAGAGAGATCGTCAGGTCACAAGGTAAAAACCAGCTTCAATGCATGTAATTCACCTGACATCTACTGGTCAGACCGGGTACTGCAGCTGAAAACATTCATTAAAGAGCGTAGCATCCAGACATGATGTTGTTTGCTGAATGTATGAAGAGCACAATAAATATACCTCACTGATCATGCTTTTCCAGGATTAAGAGGGACATACCAGGGTCTCACTGCCACGGTCCTTAAACAAGGCTCCAACCAAGCCATTCGGTTCTATGTGATGACGTCTTTGAAGAACTGGTACAAAGGTCAGTGTGCACAAGGCTGTATGCGTGTGTCTCTTTATTCGTGGAAGATATATTTGAACAAGAGACCAACACTGCTGATGGGCTAGGAGATTAGTTGAGATGTCTGTCAGAAGTGGCTCATGTTTAATTGTACAGCCATTTAGACTTTACAAGCAGCAGCTTTGTACCAAAAATGCAAGTATACAGACTGATATGAGTGAATGATTTTGGAGGACTAAGTTTGTGGATCACTTACGAAGGCTTTTATTATGTAAAACTGAGAGAGATCAAAATAATACTAGTTAAACAAACATTCTTGCCTTCTCTTCCAGGCCTTAGCGACAAAATTGGCAAACTTAAGCTCATCAGAATTAACCAACCATTTCAGCTTTTGGTCATCTGAGCACCAGAAACTGTCAGGAATTAGACGAGCCATTTCATAGAACATAAACTCTCTTAAGTCATCATAGTTTGTGTGATATTAAAGAAAATGGGTCTCACTTTCCGCTTCACCCAAATCACACAGCTCACATATTCTGTTTTTCTCCTGAATATTGTTGAATTGCACCACCGCAATGGCCAGAGGAAGAATACCAGGTGTCAGCTGTGCAGCTAAAGATCTTTGGCTTCAAGAAAAACAGGATGTTACATATAGTTCAGGGCCAAATTAATAGCTGTTTTGTCATAGCCTGCTCTTATTCTGGACAAAAATGTGGAAAACACATGGGCAAACTAAGTGATTTTTTTAACTAAAAAGTAATGAAAATAAGAAAACAAGTAGGTGGTATGAATCTGTAGAGTCAGTAATGTAGGGAGTGGAAGCATGAAAGTGTGCAGTAGGGTTGTTGTGCTGTAAAAACAAGAAAAAGGAAACAAAAGACGCAAAGTTGAGGTGATCTGCCAGCAACAGAACTGACTGCTGCTCTGTCTTATATTGTGCATGGGGCACACCGAGCGCAGGTGTGTCCCATTGTGCTGATTGCACTCTGTAGCCCTGCAATGAGACGGCATTGGCACAGCAAAGGAGCCAAGACGAGTGGCTATCACAGTAACACACACCCTCTGTCTGAGGTCCAAATGGTTGGCAGGGTTTCATCAGCTGCATGCTCATTTATAAAACAGAGCATAGGATCCATACTAAAAGTGTACGTACGGACAAAAGCCAAAAAATATTTGACAGTTTCTACAATCAGGCTTCCATCTCACCACCTGTGTCGCCAATTTCCCGTCTCCAAAATGTTCACAAGCATGGGTCAAAAATTTCTCCCATTAAGTCTGTTTCTAAATGAGACCCGAGGACTGAATTTGCATCCAAGGATTCACTGTTACTGACTGTCATTTCCCTTCACCAGGTGATGACCCCAATAAAGCTATGAATCCCCTGGTGACTGGAGTGTTTGGAGCCATAGCTGGTGCAGCCAGTGTCTTTGGAAACACCCCACTAGATGTCATCAAGACCAGGATGCAGGTACAGTGGCTTCTGTAAAGTACAGATTTTTGTTTTAATTCAAACTTGTCCAGTTGTTGCCACTTGCTGACACTGATCAGAGATACCAATGCCTTTTTCTTTTCTTTCCAAAGGGTTTGGAAGCACATAAATATAAAAGCACACTGGACTGTGCTTTAAAGATCCTGAGATATGAAGGCGTGGCAGCGTGAGTACGCCTCCACTTTGTTTTAGTTTAGCTTTGGTTTATAGTGTTAGATTCACAGCAGGCTTTTAGGCCCTTTTATCACAGCAAGCATCTGCTGCTTTTTCAGGAATACTTCACCCCTCAAATCATTTATTATTACTGACTCACTCTGTGTTACATCGAATTTGGGGAGAAAAGTTGTTTTTCTCACATGCGTCCAAGTTGAAAAACATATACAACTCCTACAGTATAATCCAAGGCTCCATTATCTAGTTGCACACATGCATTTTTGCTAATGACTTACCATTGTCTATGATCATGTATAAGCACATTTGCAGTGCTGGTAGGTTGACAAACTAATTGGGATTTTCCCTGACCTTCCATTATTTACACTTCAGGGTTTCTCAACTAGCATATGCGTGTCTGGTTAAACATATAAGTGCTTGTGTATTAATCAAAATAAAGTTACCTGGTTTCCTGGGCCTGTGTTGCGTCTAACAACAGAATTGGAGCAAGTTAAGTCAATGCAAAGCTTAAGTATGTTATGTGATGTATCATGTTTGTTTGTTTACTGCTTTCCCTAAACACTCATGTTTTATATTGACTTTTCTCTCGTTGTGTCCATCTGTAGCTTCTATAAAGGGACAGTTCCTCGGCTGGGCCGTGTGTGTCTGGATGTGGCCATAGTTTTCATCATCTATGAGGAGGTGGTGAAGGTCCTGAATGTGGTCTGGAAGACGGACTGAGCTGCTGGACTCACAGAGAGGGCGGCAGCTTCCTGCTTCCCCCCAGCATCAGGCACAGATCTGAGTTTCACAGACCTCCTCTGCATTACAGACCAGCCGCAGAGGGATTGAGACAGAGAGCTGAACTTAGATCAGTGTTATATGCTAGCCTGGAAGTTACAGAGCTCAAAGACGGGAGCTACAGAGAAAAAAGGAAGCCTGAAGAAGCTCAGTGTCGCCCACATCTGGAGAGCTGGAGTTTTTGCAGAGCTTTATAGCTCAGCACCAAAAATCCTGACAAGACCAAGGGTCAGTTTCACAAAGTGGGATTATAAAAGTTAGCCAAATAACTAAAAAAAAGATTTGTTATCCTAGATTTACATTATTTCTAAATATGAAACAAAGCCCGTATTGTAGGGTCAACAACATGATTCCTTCAAACATGTTTATGAATGCTCATAAACAACATTTTTGTGGAAATTTTAGCCCCTTTTCCAAGTTATCTGGTTCACTTTCTTGTAAACCTACTTCGTAAAATACCCTCCTTCAGTGAAGATTATTATTTCTAGTCATTCACAGCTGTTTTACTGATGTTTATTGGGAGTATGCACGTGTCGTACTGGATTATCTTGAGTTAGTGTTGCTGTCTGTCTGTCCTTGTGCCTAATATGGCTTTAAATCCAGAGGAGCCAGACTGCAGCTGGTTGCAGTTTACAGCCACATAAACTGCAGTAACTTCCATAACTAAGCCTTCAATAGAATGATTTCACATTTATAATATGCCAATTATTTTTATACGATGTAGATTCTAATTTAGTTTGTTACCAGCATTACAGTTTTATTGTAAAGTATAATATATTTTGTCCCTGTGCCAAATGACAAACCTGTTATACTATGAAAGTGTTCAGAGTAAGAACATGCAAAAGTAGCCTAATAATCTTATCAAAAGAAGAGCAAATATGACTTATATTGTACTTTATAAATGTATTTATCGAAAAGTTGAATGTTGAATATCCATTTGGTTGAGATGTTATTTGTTGTTAACTTGTGCCACTTGTTTTTTCTGTGGTCAGGTCTGGGCGTAAAGGTGTTTTTTAAGACGTTAGGCTATATTATATTGCTGTATTTCACTGTGAGACACAAAGTAACCTCAGACCTCGTTTTCCCCTACGATGGAAGCACTAATTTTTATCAGGTCATATCCTAACACAGGTTCCTCCCACTGGATGGTTGACTGTCTTCTGCTTACAGGTTTCATATGTCCCCTACATCAGTGGTCCCCATCTCGGGGTTCAGGGCCCCATAATTAATTGAAATGGAAAGAAGAGAATTGTTCTTCTGATATACTCAGTTATGTTCATTTATTCAGGGTGGAACTTCTCACAATTTGTGGACACTTGCGATGAGCTGCTGCAAGTAGTCACTGCATCATTAACTATAAAGGTTTCACCCGCCAAAAAGATTTGGGAATCACTGTCTGTTCAAATCCATTTCTAGTGCCGTTTACTTTCTGTGTTTCATTCAGGGTTTGTTTTTACTTCTCACTCATGTGCCTTCTGCTGTTGTGTTTGTTGGTGAATGCTACTTGAGAAATATCCTCTGTTATCGACCATTTAAAGTGTTTAATCGTCTTAAAGGCAATCTGAGATTTCTGTGGTTCAGTAACATTATTTTTTAAAAAGATGATTACAAGAGCTGCATGTCCTCATAATCTGTCTGTATTACTGTAAGAACTTACTGATAGATTGTGTCCCTGTTTCTGAGATAATCTTCATCTTATTTTTTAATTTTTGTGTTTGACCAAACAACATGCTTGCATTCCTTACTGCCAAATAGCCAAGATATAGTGTTATTGTTATCACAAGTCAATGTATTTTAAGGCTGTATGTGTAGGCTATATGGTTCTTTATAATGAAGCTTGTGCAGTAAACGCTGTCTGCTTCATTTGTCTGTGCTCAATGTCAAGTACCTTTTTGTTGGGGAGGTTTCAAAACTCATTAAAGCAAGCATCTGAAAACTTAAAAGCACGCAGACTGGTTGTTTTTCTTATCCTCCCTCTTTCATTTGTCTGTTGTTCTGCCCTTTTGGTCACAACAGATCACGTTGGGACAAACCATAGGGGGCAGGTAGGGGAGGAATCGAACAGGGAACTCATTGTTCCAGTTTTGGCTGATGCTCACATAGGGTGGTTCAACTATCCATCACTCTCTCTCTCTCACAGACACACATACACACACACAATCCCCGGTATCCCAGTGTTTGTTGTGAGAAGGAATGCACAGCTTTCTGCAGAAGATGTGGGTGAGGACAGCATGTAGTGGACAATTTGGTCTGAATGAGGAAGTGAGGAACGTGTGCTGAAAAGTGCTCAGATCTTTTACTCAAATAAAAATACCAGTGTAGAAAAGTAAGAGTCAAGCATTCAAAATTATCTTGAGAAAAAAAAAGTATTAGCATCAAAATCTATATGAAGTATTAACAGTAAAAAGTACTCACTGTGCAGAATAGCATTTCAGAATCAGATAGATATAAAAAAAAATTACTGCTGTGTACATCACACCTTATTTGCACCTTGGTGTTAGCTAGTTTTTTATTCTTTGTACCAAACTGTTATCTATTTTTTAAAATATTTGCTTTATATTGAATTTTATATACTGTAAAACTTCAATTAATAGCCCGGGCTATTATCAACAGGCCTATATTTGGGACAGGTGTCTACATGGGACAGGCCTTTAATTCCTTTCACACAAAAGTGTTGCTCAGCAAAGATGGGAGATACAATCAAATTGTTTATTTAAACCAGTATGAATATTACTTGTATAAAAACAAGGCTTATCAGTTACGAATCACTCATTTGATCTGGCTCCAACAGATAGTGCATCAGCAAAAGGGAGAGTTACGGCACTTCAGGATTACGGCACCTGGCATATCAACACAATACTACTTTATGCTGTTAAAACTATTTAGTACTCCCAACTTTGATTCAATTTTATTTATAAAGCCCAATATTACACTTACAGTTTGCCACAGCATACTGCATCCCTCTATCCTTTGGCCCCTCACAGTGGATAAGGGGATGGGGAAAAAAAACTTGTAGAAACCTCAAGTGGAGCAACTGAGGAGGGATCCCTTTTCCAGGATGGACAGACTTGCAATAGATCAACATAATAAATTTACAGTAATCAGTTGTGAAAAGCCCTTTTGATTCTTTTGGTCTGAGGACCTTTACGGACTAAAGGAATACCTTACTGGGTAATCAAGGAATAGATACATAATTAGATACATCAGAGAAACTTCTGTAAAAAATGAAATGACTGGCAACCGGACCAGGTGTCTAATTGAGACAAGTGTTTATTTGTCAAAATGTGTCGCCACACCGGCCCAGTAAAAGGGACTGGGCGCTTAATGGAAGTTTTACGATATTTCATACATTTATTTTTTTCTGCTGTTATTTTGGTCCTCATATGTGGCACTCTTTGTATCTGTAGTCCTCTAACCTTGCATTGCAACTTATCTTATCCTTGATTATACTTTGTATTAATAATTTGAAATGGCATAGTAAATGGTAACTAGAGCTTAGAAGTAAATATAGTAAAGTGATAAGTGCAATGTTTGCCTCCGAACCGTAGCTGAGTAGACACAACCACAGTGCAGGCCAAAACGTTCATCTTAAACTGTAGGTGGAGCTGTCGCCAGATCCTCAAACACATCTGTGAATCTCCCCCTCCCTACTGCTCTGACACACACACACACACACACACACACACACACACATACACACACACACACACACACACACACACACAGGTGATGAGAGAGAACTCCTCTCGCTTCATATCTGTACAATAGGGCTTTATGAGAAGGGGCAAAGAATCTAACAACCTCCCTTCATCCTAACATCATCACGTCCTCCTCCTCCTCCTCCTCTGCATCCTCCTCTCCTCTCTGCTGCTGGAGACAGGATTGGGCCAAAATTGCCTCAAAATCTTTCATCATTTTCACAGATATTAGCAGATCACAGATCAGGCCTCGACATCACCTTTGAACTCCAGAGATGAAAAGTTGAGTTTCACTGTTTTCTGAGAGAAGTTCAGAAGTGGCTTTATAGCTCCACTACCTTTATTTTCTCCAACATGTACACCACAAATATTATAAATACTTAGAGGTAGAAATTAACAAAGCACATTTAATGAAGTACAAATGTTTGCGCCACTGCATTTTACAGATGAAAACACTTCCCAACTGTTTTGGCTTCTGACCCCCTGTGACCTCACTTCACAGACTATATAAGCTTAGCTCTGATGTGCAGGACTTTTAGAGCCCTGTAGAGGCGAAATTCTCCACTATTTCACAAGTAAAAAAAGTAGAAAAATGAAACATGCATTTCATTTTGTAGCCTATACTTTAGATTTAGACATTTTAGATGTTATATCCCATTATCGCTTTATCATGGCTGGTGTGAGTTACTTTGCAGACTATGGTTCAGCATGCCACAGTGAGCTCATATGTAACAGCAAAAGGACAGGTGGCACTTGGGGGAGAGGCTGGTGCTTGTGACAGCATGAGATGTAGGCATTAATGGCGTCCTTCTCAGCTGAGCTGTTAGCTAGCTCAGTGTTGCTAGGTGAGCTAGCAGTAGATGCATGCTTCCTTCTGCGTGATGATATGGTTTAGGGGTTTAGTTTGGTAGAAAGAAAGTAGTTCCTACATCAAACTGCTCACAACAACATCTGTGGATAATCTTGAGTAACCGGGTCATGATTTCTGGAAAGAGACATTGCTGTTAAGTTTTTAAAATGTATTTGAAAAACAACACTTTGGGCATCAGTGTCATCTAGTTACATTATATTTGAGTGAAGGCAGACATCTCTACTGTCATTATCTCCAACACTTGGCAACTCACACACACACAAAAACAAACTAGACTGATAAAGAGCATGACAGGTAAGAGGACAAATATGTATTTCTAATTTGGGGGTGAACTGTAGCTTTAAAGTCTGAATAACCAGCAGGCCCCTGAACAGCAATGAGACCTACTTATCCTTATACTGAAGGACATTTGGGTCTTTTGAGGTCATTTGAGTCTCAGCTTGTTGCTAAAATTGGTCAAATTTGTTGCCCTATCAAACTACAAAGGTTTTTGACAATAAATAAACAAGTTTCAGCCTTAAAATGTGATCAGGTTTTGGGCCTTGTCCACTTTTGTGTCAGGATCGGCTGCAGACTGACTTGGCAGAGATGACTGCCATCTTGGTTTTACATGTATTAGTGTATTGTTACTACCATTAGATGGTACAAAAAAGTGTCCACGGACGAGGACAACAGGTCTGAGTTAGGTAGAATGAAGTATAAGGTCAAGTAAACCCAAAATGTGATGTTCTGATATGAAGACACAGGGTCTCAGGAGGATATACTAACTATAACTGTATGAACTAATATTTGCTTAGAAAATACAGTCAGTACATGTACAGTATTTGTAATCTAGTATTTTCCTACTGACCTGTAACATTGCTACTTTAACTGAATTAGTGGATTTGAAGCATTTCCCTTCAGCTGATACTAAGGGCGATTCTCTTGTGTCTTCCTCGTCCTCATGCCCTTTTACAGTTTCCCCACTGCTCAGTTTCTCCCCGACAGCCTCCATTCACTCAGAACCAGTGAAGGGTGAGTAATGTTATTGTTCTCCAGTCTTTTGCTCCAAAGGGTGGATGCTCTTAGCTCCACGGGATGAGTGGAGGATCATTTTGTTTCTGCAGCCCAAAAAAGGACCTCGTCTCTCACCGCAGCAGCTGTTGGCTGAATCTTATCTTCATGTAAACTTCTCTCTTATTTACTGATTTTGATATAAAGTGGCTGCGCCGCTGTCCGTGGTGCTGAATTTGATTTTCTGATTGGAAGCTAAAATATATGTGAATGGTTTTAGGCACTTTTCACAGATATCTTTTCACTCGTGTGAAACTGTGTTTTTGATTCCTTGAAGTGTTTATGGTTGCAGTTTTGGTGCAGCGGTGCAAAGCACTGTAAATATCAGAGCTTATTTTTCAGTGTTTTCCCCTCAACTGAACTTTTCCGATTTGCATCTCACGTGTATCCCAGCAGCAGAGGTGGTCCAACACACTTTGAGAGAAAAATAACACGTTCAGTAATACCAGTCATTTGTCAAGCAACAAATTGCGCAACCGAGTGCGCAGGAGAGAGGCACCGAGAGGGAGGGAGACTGGTACTGTACGTCTTTCCTAATAACCAACAGTAGCTGTGAGGGGCGGTGTCCGGCACACTGATAGAGGAGAGCTGGTGCGCACACAGGCTCCACTTTTACACATCACTTGTCCGCGTCAAGGTGTCAATGCCGAACTTACCTCGGATTTGGATTTTAAATAGTAATTTCCACCAGTGTAACATAACTCAGCTTTAAGCACCACCCAAAGTGAAGCACACACCACCAGAGTGTGTGCGCGTGTGAGTGTGGAGCAAGTGGATCCAGAAAACCTTCCGTCATGGGAGCGCACGGATGGAGCGCAGCGCGTCTCGGGTTTGTTGTTTGTGGATACTTAGCGTTTTTCTGCGGGCAAATTGTTCCACGGGCCGAAGCGGGCTGCAGGGAGAGAGAGAGCCCAAACTGCTGCACCGGCCGGAACAACGAGTGTTTTGAGTACAGCAAGAGAAAAACTGTGTGCTACTGTGATACCTACTGTCAGAAAACCGGAGACTGCTGCGAGGACTACCAGCGTGTGTGCCAAATATCTGGTGAGTTGCTTGTTTTATCCTCAAATTCTGCCTTTAGGCAAGGTTTGGGGAATATTAACACCTATACTGTACAGATAGTAGATTTCATCTGTGTCCTGTCTAGTGATGCCTGTTGTTCATTGTTGTCCAGTTTGAGCCAGAGATGACTGGCATTGAGGTGACATGGAGACAGTGAGACATACTACACATAGCTGTCTCCAGTGCGCCCACTAAGGCTGTTTGTTTTAAGTGACCATTTGTAAGAGGGGTATGTCCTGTCTTCATGGTGTTTTCAAAAGCAGGTTGCATGTGTGTGTTTTTAAGTTTGTAGGGTTGACCCCTGGCCCTTAAAACCAGGACATGAAGTGGTTGGAAAGTGGAGTGATCATAACAAAGTCACAAATCAGCAGGGTAGTTTTCTCCTCAACAAAGGAAGACCAAGCTGCACTTTGAATCATGAGAGAGAGGTTAATTATTTACAAAATCCTTAAAATGTGAATGAGGCTAACCTCTTCCCTCATCAACCTGGCTGCTGCTATATATGGACAAATGAGGGAATGGACATCATGGGAACAGACTGCCAAAGATGGTCAGGAATACAGTAGAGCCGTGTCTGAGATGTGACAGAGAGAAAACACTTAGACCAGTAACTGAGGCAGGTCTTTCTGTACAGTGTGTTGAAACAGCTCAAGTGTTCGAGGAGTGATTATCTGTGCACAGATACACTCAGTGTGTGACCCTCGTCTTAAGTGCACACTAACAAGCACCTGCGGGGTCGGTCGTATGGAGTCAAAGAGCACTTCAAATGCTGCAGGGGTCCCTCTATTTAAGCAAAATCAGTGTATACACAGGGAGCTTTGGTTTGAGTGTTGTATCTGTGCTGTGATGTGAACAGGCTGCCTCAGACAGACTTGAGTCAGTCACTTACAAGTGTGTACAAAGGTACTGTCATGGAGGCTGTAATAAACTTTATTAGATCTCCTGTTTATGTCAAAGATAGCTGAACCACTTGTTAATCACTGCAGCGTGCAGTCAATTTCAAAGAGACATACATGTGTTTTGCACATTTCAGTCAACTTAATTAAATATTTACAAACTTTACATTACAACAGGCCTTTTGCAAAGCAAATAGGTGTAGGTAATTGATGTTTTAATGTTTTTTTACAACTTGAGGATCCCTTAATCTGGTTAAAATTTGATAGAATTTCAGTAAAACTCAATCTGTATGTCGAATGTGAGGGTTTTGTTTCAACATTTGGGGGATTTGGGGTCCTCTGCAAGGAAATTTTGAGCATCAAACTCATAATTTCCTCCATTCCGGTGAACATTTATGCACCAGTTTGTACTTTTTCTGCATCAATTTATTGAGTAAATGTCTTAAATTTTCTCAAAAACAAAAGTCCTGTGCTACTTTCATGTTTAAAATATTAAGGGAGATATGTCCCCTGCATCCTCCCAAAATCTACACCTATGTTTTGGGGCTGCCTAAATAAAGTTAACTTGAATTTGGAGTCTTTAAACTTGCTTGAGACGTGATCAGTCCCAGTAAGCATCATGTCTGATATTGTCAGATGGTCACACTCTGCAGACTCTTGTAATCAACCATTTCAACGGCAGTATGTTAACTGGTAGACATGTTTGACTGTAATGTAAAATTAAATGTAACTTCTAAACCGCAAAATCTGCTAAAACTTTCAAAAACACCAGTATAGCATGGCAAATGTTGAAAAAAGAGGTTTCTTGCAGTGCATAAGTCAGTATAAATAAATATACCCTGCAATGCTGCAAACAGCAGATGTATTGGTATCAGCAAATACATCTTACCACACATAGGAAAAAATACAAATCACTTCAAATCACAATTTATGTTTTTGATCCACCAATCAGTCAAAGAGTTATGTAGAGACAGTATTTATCACCCAACAGCCAGCTGAGTGGAGTCCAGGCATCACTTGATCCATCCCACATGTCTGCCAAATTGAAACTTAACAGAAAGAGCACAGGAAAGCACCTCAAGTCAGTGTTGAGTCATCACTGCACTGTTTAACAGCAGCTGGTTCCCTCAGAGGTCAGCTTACGGCCGCCATGTGTACCGGTTCACTCACGTGTCAGATGAGGATTTTTTTTCATCGCTGTGGACCTCATGTGTCACTCTGACAGGTCAATCCTCATGTGACATCGTACAGAAAAAAACGTCACACAGTGGTGTGATGCAGGTGTTACAGGTTGGACAATGTTTCCCAGATGAATGTGGTCACTCTGCAGGATATCTATAAACCAGGATGTGTGACAAGCCTCACAGTCATCTGCAAATTGGACTGGTTTATTCTTACAGCTGTAAATTTGGGAGTGTGTGTTTTAAAAGTTTTTACAGTCTTTAATTTGTTTAAATCTGAACATGAAAACAAATCAACTTGGCCATGACCTGTACATGCTCTATGGCTCACTGAGCACTGAGTGATGCAGTGAAAACCACCTTGACTTCCTCCCTCTGCAACCTGAGCATCTTACAGTTAAAACACAACATGCATCATGTGGCTTGGCTCACTTCCATCAAAGTGCCCTCACCCACATTACACTCGAACTTTATCTGATCTTGATCCTGCAGCTCTGTAACGCATCAAGGAGTCTGTCTGTGTACTGTCTGTCACAGTCTGTAATTTAGCCGTGACAGCTGTGGCTGAGCGAAGAGCTTGGAGTGGGTGACATCAGGGGAGAGACAGAAAAAAAACTGGCAGACTGTTTGCACCACTTGGACACAAACACTTAAAGCTCTTTAGAGTTTAGATGGTTCTCTCCAGAGATGTCATTCAAATGTTTTTTTTGGCAGGAATATGTGTTGGTTGTAAACAGCGTGGGGGATGTTCCTCTGCACTTGAGAGCTTAGAATTATTAATGTAAAACAAGTCGATGTGGAATGTTTAAAGGAAAAACAGAGATCCTCCCTACAACTATGTAAAACAAGTTTAAGTGATGTGCAGTCAGTCCTGGATTCACCTCTTGTGGTCTGGCAACTCTTGCTGCAGCGGACTGACAGAACAGGTCGATAGCTAGTGTGTTTTTGGGGAGGTTGAGGTTTTAAAATGTGATTGCATTTCTGGAAACATAAACATTTCAGCAGAACAACCCACCAAAACTAGTTCCTAAATAAAGTTATGGAGTTGTATAGTCGAGCTTAGTTTTAGATCCACAAGTTAATTTAAGTAGTTCTTGAGGTTGAGGAGGTGATAGACAAAATGTAGGGCAGCACATTATGTAATTTTTTTTTATCGTCATTGTAAGCCCTCACTGTTAGGCATCATCTGATTGCTCAGAATCTGCGTGCATGCGAGTGAGGTTAGTGCTGTTTACTGCCCTGCATGGTTGAAGCATGAAATTGTGACAAGATGGGTGCAGACAAAAGTGTGAATGCCAGAGAGGAACTGGTGCCTAAAAAAACAGCATGCCAGCTGTTTGGCAGTATTTTGGATACAGGAGAGAAAATGTGTCATGAACAGGCACTGTGCAAGCCTTAGTCAAGAACTTAGTCCACTTTATATCTGTTTATATGTACACATATTGTACTGACGATATTCAATAATGTTATTGCATATTATATCTTTTTCTTTTTTTGGAGCATGCGCAGCGTGAGAGGTTGAGTCCCCTCGCAGTGTGGTGTGCAATGGTCAAATAAGTGAGAAATTTAGAAATGTAACTTATTTAAAAATAAAAAAGTAAAATGGAATGTTTAATCTTTGAGCTGGACCTATGACAAGTCAAGAAAGACGGACACTGAAGGCTTCTGCGATGCCTAATGTTACAAGATCACAGGTGGCAACCCAGGCGGACACGCCAGCCGCAGCAAATGCTAGGTGTGATGACTTGGAAAGTAAGTTAGACAAACTTTTAAATCTCCAAGCAGCAACCAACACACTGTCATCTGTGTCATGTCATCCATTATCATCTGGATAAAAAACTGAAATGCTAGTGAGTGATATGCACGAGCAGGTGGTTGGACAAGGGGCTCATCAACACCGCATAAGAGAGCATGAAATTAAACGACAGCTTGCAATGGACTGTACTGATCAACTTGAGAATCGCCATCGCCAAAATAATCTGAGGACTCTTAATGTTCCCAAATCACAGGAAGACAGAGTGGGGATGTTCGCTTTTCTGGTAAATCTCCTGGATAAAGAGCTGAAAATATAACTGAGAGAAGAAGTCTATGAAAGCGCACGCTGCCTCGGCCCATTCAGAGTATATTTTTCTCATATCGTGTAGCCCTAATACAGCAAGGTGACACAATTTCTCGTGTAACATCCCCTTCCCTTTGGTGTCAAACTTTATTTAAAAGGTACAAAAGAAATGCAACATGGAAGATGAAAGAGAAGATGCCTATATCTGGACTGACAGAGGATTCAGTACATCGAAACTTAATGCAGTTTCAGTTGTGGCCTCCTCCACAATATAAGGCATATGAAGACATTTTTTGCTGGATATACTTTCAATTTCTTCACCGTATTATGTGATTACCACAGGGAACAAGGGGTTGTTAACAGAAATCAAGGATATTACCGTATATAACAGAAGAGGAGGAGGCAACTTAAATTAAATTATATTTCCCATGGGGGAGTTTTCTCCTCTTGTAGGAGTACCTTTTGGTTATTTCCACATCCTCCCCACAGTAAGTCTCTAACTGCTCATTCCTCCTCAGAGATGAAACCTGCCCACAGGAGGATGGAAGGGGCAGCTCCTCTCCTCTCCTGCTGTGGTGTCTGGTAGTTCTCACTTCAGCAGGAAGACATATTGTAGCCTCAGATGCACCAGAGCTTCCCTCATCATTCATCTGTTCCTTCTGCAGGCACTTCTGCTTCTCTTTCTTTTCCTCTAGGGAATGGTATGCTGTCATGCCATGATGTTTTCATACGTTCACTCCTAATTTTTCTTCTTTGCTTCCCTCACCTTCTTCTTCTAACTTCTGTAAGTAGTGAGTGTTCTTACCCAGCTTGGCTGAGATGAGCCAGCTGTTGTAGTTTTTGGGA